TCTCTTTCCCTCCGTTATGAGAAAGGCTGGTTAACATTTCTTAATTCCTTCTGTTTGTGTACCTATCTCAGCCCTCTCAGGTAATCTGATTGAAACCGGCTGGTGGAGCTGGAGGCGGGGCAGCTGCACGTGTGTGACTCAGAGCTGTAGGCTATCTCTAAAGCTCCTCTTCTGAGGCATTACTTTTTATTTGCAGTGAGAATGGGAGCTACAGGAGTCATGAAACTGACTGAGCAATAATACTGTTATAGCTTAATATTTCACTGTGACAAGGCAAGGACTACTGTCGGAACTCTGTTAATAGTTTTGTATTAACTTTTTTACTTCATTAGCAAATATCAATTGTACAAGATGAGCATTTCCTCTGTGTCATTTTCATACATTATACTGTACATTGTGATCACATTCAACAACAAACTCTGGTTTAAAGTGAGCAAAGGATTTGGAGAGACATTTCCCCAAAGAGAATATACAAACAACATAAATAAGCAAAGAAAACCTGCTTGGCATTCCTGATCACAGGGAAAGCAATTTCAAACCTCAAGGACATCCCATCTCACACTGCCATGATGGCTGCCATTAAGAAACCAGCAAGTGCTGGTGAGGACTTGGAGAAACTGGAACCCCGGGTGCTGTTGACGGAGCACAGTGTCATGGAGAAGCGTTTCTCAGCAGACCTCATACAACCAAAGCAGAATGTATGACCCAGCAGCTTACACTATTTCAGAAACAACTCAGAGTAGGCTCTCAAGGGGCAATGTGCTCATATCAGCGTTGCTTGCAAGAGCCAAAATGTGCAAGCAACCTGAAAGTCCATCTACATGTGGATAAACTGTGGTATATGCATACAACAGAATGCCATTTCTCCTTTGAAAGAAAATCCTGATGCATATTACATGTGAATGAACCTGGACGATGTTACCTTAAGGGAAATGAACTAGTCACAAAGGATAAGCATATGAGGTGCCCTGGTGTGGTTAGACTCATAGAGGCAGGTAGAATGGTGGTTGCCAGAGGCTTGGGAGGGAGAGGTGGCAGGCAACTGGAGGTACAGATGGTTGTGAGCTGCCATGTAGGTGCTGGGTAAAAACCCAGGTCCTCTGGAAGAGCAGCCAGAGCTCTTCACTGCTAAGTCATATCTCCAGCCCCCATCCCAAATTCCTTACAGTGTCAGAACTCTTTAGAAACCATTATGTTGTTTTCTGTCTCCCTGGACTGGAAGATAGATTCCAAAAACACAGGGCTTCAGCTAGTTTTCTTCCTTGTTGTCTTTGTTATTTGGAGGTCTCTAGGTGGCACATAGCAGGCATTCAATGAATATTAAATAGTTGAATGAGCAACATGTATGGGAAGGAACATCTGCTTACCCTTGTCTTGTATTTGGTAGAGGGCAAGGTTTTTTTTTTTTTTTTTTTTTTAATACCACCTCTTGTACCAGTTTTTTTTTTTCAACCTTAATTCTGGCCTTTTCTTACTAGAATGTTGAATATTACAATATAGTACCTAACTCTAAGATAATTCAGGGAAATCCTCTGTATAAAGTAATTAATATTATTGTAGCTTCCCTGCCACCTTTTGTGTATTCTTGTGTGTTCATATGTGTGGGTGTGCAGGTGGAGCCCGGAGGTCGACATCAGGCATCTTCCGTAATCGCTCCCTACCTCACACACATAAGCAAGCGCCAGGGCATGAAGGTCAGAGGTCAGTTGCTGGGGGTCAGTTCTTTCTCACCCTGTGGGTCCCAAAGGTTGAACTCAGGTCAACAGGATTAACTACAGGTATCTTTACTTCCTGAGCCATCTCCATAGCCCTCCACCTTTTTACTTTTTATTTTTTTTTGATACAGTGTCTCTCATAAACCTGGAGCTTGCCTATTCAGTCAAGATTGGTTGGGTAGCAAAGCTCTAGAGATGACCCATCTTGGTCCCATCCAGTGCTGGGATTATAGGTGAGCCAGACATGTCCATTTTGTTTGTTTTTGTTTTGCTCATCCAGTCAGCTCAGTGCTCAACCACCTTTAATTTCTACTACACAGCTTGTCTTACTCAGACCTGCCTGGTGGCTTTAACTGTAAGGAAGATAGGAAAGAGAAAAGAAGGAAGGGGGTGGGGAGGGAAAGAGAGGTGGAAAGAAAGAAGCATGGAGGAGAGAGGAAGCAGGGAGGGGAGAGGGACTCCCAGTGTTTTATATATAAAATAGAAATATACAATATTGATCAATTGTCTATGATTACTGTTGTTAAAAATGATTAAAATTATTTACACTAAAATATAGTTTTCAGGACACAATTCAAATAAATGTTGGAACACTGAAATCTTTTTTTCCCATTAATTTATTTATTCACTGTACATCCGGATCATAGCCTCCCTCTCCTCCCGGACCCTCCTGACACAGTCCATCCCCCCAGAAACACCAAAGTCTTAACAGAGCTTTTTAAATTTCAAAATGCTGAGGTATGGTTTTAAAACCAATTGTAATTCTATTATCTAAAACAATTACAATTGCTTTAAAATGTGAAGTATTCGCATGAGTTAGCAATGATGGTGATTTCTATAATTTAGTGTCATGTTTTTACAACTGGGAATTGTTTGCATTTATTTTGGGGATGGGATGGGTTGATAGTCTGGGCAAGAGACAGAATTCCCTTTTAATCTGGAATTTTGATCCCAAATGACTTAGAGAATATGATAGAACTCCCAATTAGCTTAATGTGATAAGATCGAGCCCAAACTTAGAATGATTATTTCCTCACTGTACTGCTAGGGCATCCAGGTTCATGTTTTACTGCATGATGTAATCACCCTTCCTGTCATGATCTCAGCTCTTTACAGAAGCGATTCAATACACGACCTCCTTGACGATCACTCAGATTTGAGAGAGCATCAATGGTGAGGAATTTGGAACCTAACTGGTCCTTGTGCAGAGGCCGATGATTTGTCTGAAATAGAACAGAGCAACTAGAAGCTGTTAATAAAAAGGGTAAACATGTTTGCCTGCTCAAATCATGAGACTCTGGAGTAGTTAGTCGAGCAGACCCTTCATCACTCCAAGTGATGCAAAGTAGGTGCTGATGTCTTCAAGGACCAAAATTGATGGGGGTAAATGTCTGCTGTTCCCATGGAGATGAAGGGCGTGAGAAGGCCCAAAGTCTTTGAATGTAGAACTGCTGAATTAGGCCGAACCCTAGACTTGTTTTTCCTGATCGTAGATCCAATCAGCTAAAGCCAAACACCAGCCCAGGGTTTTCTATGTGACCTTTGTGGGGGCCCTTGGCCTTTTGTGGGCCTGAGCAACGGACACAGGAAGGGAAGCCCTTTCATGGAGATGTCTGAGGTCCGTGAGCATTTTCTTCTCCCATGGAGAAGTGTTCTATGATTGCTATCTGTGTGTTGGCCATCCTTCACCGTTATAGCAAGTACTGGAGGTAATGTTCATAAACGGCGAGAGGTTCACCTGGACTTAAGGTTTCAGAGGCTCCAGTCCATGGTTACATGACCTCGTTGCTTTATGCCACTGCTGGGGGTGCTAGAGGGCAACAGTGGAGCACAGGGTGGAATAAAACCTCTCACCTCATGCGTTGCCTTTTGCCCTTTAATATCAACGCCTCCCCTCCTCAGCCCCCCCCCCCCCCCAAACCCCCCCCAATCTCAGCTACAGAGATGTTTCTGTCCCTATGTAGCTCTGCTCTTTTCAGAACTTCCTAGCATGTGATTGCTTTTCAGTGCTGAGAGGCATCTCCTTATGCAAACACAGCACGGGTTGTCCCACTGAGGAACCTTTCTATTGTTTCTGGGTTAGCAAGCTTCCTCAAGATCAGCCATCTCCAGAGATGGCCTTTGAAGCCATTTTTCCAAGAGAGCTAATAAAGACTTGTGGCGTCTGAGAGTGTTTTAGGAGGAAGGGGCTAATTTCTAAGACTACAGCGTGGAAGCAATAGAAGCACAGAAACTGGTTTCAGGATAATTTTTATTAACACCAGGCAGCCCTTATCTGCAGACTGTAAATTTATACACAATATATTTTAATGTACAGAATGGTAAGGAAGTAGGGAAATTCAAGTCCTCCACTTTTGAAGAAACAAGTTGTTTTAGTTTCCGTTTTAAATACCCGAAGACAACAAAAGGACATAACCACAGTTTCTGCTAAGCAGCAGCTATTGAATTGAGAATATTCCAGAGAAGGACATTTCCCTTGATGGCAAAGCAGATGTTCATATTCTAATTTAACTGACGGAAGGCTATCCAGGGAAACTATGTCCGGTCGTCTTTGGAATTACACAGCCGAAGGATCAGGTCTCGAAGTCTCTGTAGTTCCAGTGTTCCTTCCGTTATCCCAGAAACTGCGCACACCTGAACTATAAACGGCAAACCTCAGGACCACACCTGTCTTGAAGGGAAGGAGCTGAAGTTTCTTTGCGTGCTGTGGGAAGGTACCCACTGTGCTCCATCTCCGCTCCTTTCTCTAGGGCCTCCCGGGTGGCTGATGCTGTTCTCAGAATAAGGTTACATGTCCCTTTCCTCTCCATTTGGTCTGGTAGCCCTTTCCACATTTGACTCGCAGTCCCAGGTACTCACCCACTGCTGTCTTTCTGGTGAACTCAAACAGCAATTGTTCAAGTCTTCCAGACCAACGGGCCTTTGAGGTTGGGCTGTTGGTCAAACTACCTCTGCACCCCAAGGTTTAATAATCTGTCGGTAAAGCTTTTGGCTTTGGACAGAGTGGAAACCCTCCTTGGGTCCCTACCACTATAGCCTACCTGCCTGCAGGTTTGGAGGCTGGAGGCTGGAGGCTGGCCCATCCCCTCCCAGCCGCCAGCCCAGGCCTGGGCCAGCTCCGCCCCGAGCAGCAGCTGAGCGGCCACACCCTTTGCCGAGCTCGGTTCCTGTGAGCCAGAAGCCTCGCCCCCCGACACTCCAGACGCCCTACTGCCGCCGCCCCACCCCACCAAGGCCTCAGCACCCGGATCGCGCCCCGCCAGCTCGCAGTGACTTCCCCGAACCATGCTGCGCTGGCTGCGGGCTTTCGTGCTGCCCACCGTGGCCTGCCAGGACGCGGAGCCGCCCACGCGCTACGAGACGCTCTTCCGGGCGCTGGACCGCAATGGGGACGGCGTGGTGGACATCGGAGAGCTGCAGCAGGGGCTGCAAAGCCTGGGTATCCCGCTGGGCCAGGACGCCGAGGAGGTGGGTCGCTGTGGGGTGCTGGGGTGGCCGCAGGCGCTCGCGGGATGCCAGGTTCTGGGAGGGCGGTGGCCTGAGGCCAGGCAAGAAGGAGGAGGAACTATGCCCGCCAGCCCGCGGGAAGAGCTCCAGAGAGTTGGATCTGGAAGGCGGCGGGTATTTTCCCAGATAAATTAGTGCTGCACACTTAAAACTGTCAACACTTTCGTACTGAGAGCATCTCTAGTTCTTGGTTCATCTCCTGTCTGGTCCTTTGCAAACTTCTCATGATTGTCCTGCTGTAGACTTTAGTGAGTCCCAACTTGAATTCACTTTCTTACAGCTAGAGTTTATTGTTTCTAAAAGGGGTTAAAACCGGCCTTGCTCCCAGCTGCTGGTTGAAGTAGAAAGGCCACATTCCGTTTTTATGACATTCTAAGTTAGTGCCCTGAGAGCACACATTGATCTGAAGGGTTGACCTGTTGCAAAGCAATTGGACTTTCTCTGAGTCATATGAATTGTGCCCCTGACATCCAGGCCCCTTGTCAGGGTGGGGACACTAGATCTGGAACTTGTCCAGCCTGCTGTCTTACAAGAGGCCGCTGGCTTTTCTATCTTAAGAGGAACGTGCTTGAGTTACTGAGTGGGCCACCAACTGTTCTGTACCTATATTTAAAACTACTCTTCAGTCACTGTCAGTGTCATTAATAGAGGCCTCTTCACTTTAGTCTGTCCTCTTAGTAAGTTACAACTTTACTTTTTGAAATTACCAATTTTGCCCAAGGCATTATTATGTATAACTTTACAGAACTTCTGTGGCTGCAGGGTCCCCTCATCATTCCTGATTCCAGTTCTTCTCCCATCTTCCCTCTGGCCGTAGATTTGCCTATTCAATACACTTTCTGAAAGAACCAAGTTTGAGTGTGTCTCTTCTACTTGCTCTGGGTTGACTCATTTCCTCTCATTTCTTGAATCAAAGGCCTGCCTGGCTACTTTTGAATGATAGCATCTCTTCAGCCAACCCATGGCTGCATCTCAAAGGCAAGTTTCCAGTTATTTGTTGTTTTTATTATTCTCTTCCAGGTGTTTTCTAATTACTGACATGATTTCTTTGACTCATGTATCATTTTAAGAGTGCTTTAAATATACTAGCACATTTTTGTTCTTAATGAAGTAAACAACACATCTGGTGCATGCCTACAATCCCAGGCTGAGAGGCTGGAGAACTGTCACAAGGTACAGGTCAGCTTGGGCTCTGTCTTCCCCTTATCTAAGTCAAATTGAAGTGAACCAAAACAAAGAGCAACAACAGGCCTTAAGACCCCCAACACCACAGTAATAACATCCCCACAATAACAACATCCCCACAATAACAACAATACCACAATAACAACAACCCCACAATAACAACAACCCCACAATAACAAC